ACTGAAATGCATCATCCCTTGGGGCCAGTTACCTGTCTCACCGATGAGATAGTTACGTGCTAATTTGATAGATAAGCAGTGCTGCCTGGGTTAAATTCCGGACCTGGGTGCGATCTGTGTGGAGTTTGCATTTTCTCCCCCATGTTCAGACGGGATTCCAAACATTATTCCACTGATTAGTCCAAAGACATACTGGTAGGTTAACTGGCTGACTGGCGTCCCATCCAGGGTGTCCCCTGTCTTGCGCCTCTTGCTTGCTGGGACAGACTCCGGCTCCCCTGAACTGGACATGGTGATGGTTGTCCGTTGTGTCCGACGATGACGGTTGTACTTTGTGCAGCTCATCTGTTCGGAAGATGAGCTGCATGGAGAAACCTGTGCAGGAGAGCTTTTTGAAGAGGGAAACTCGTTATACTGGGGCAGTCCCACTCGCTCGACCTCAGAAGCCTGGGTACAGTGGTACGGGTAGTTGTCACGACTGGAGACTTCCTTGGTTGAAGTGGATGGCCATGACGCCTTTCTGTGCCTTGTCATGCCCTTCGCTTTCCATGGAGCGTTACGACACTATAGCGTCCCCCATCACTATACCGGGGCATTAGGACCCACACAGACCACAGGGTGAGCGCCCCCTGCTGGCCCCACTAATACCTCTTCCAGCAGCAACCTTAGCTCTCCCAGGAGTCTATCCTCCAGGTACTGACCAGGCCCACACTGCTGAGCTCCAGTGGGCTGCCTGGTGTGAGGTGCAGGGTGATATGGCTGCTGGCTGACCTGGACAAGCAGTTAGCGAACGTGATGTGCAATGAAGAAACCAACGATAATCAAGAGTATAACAGTCAATCAGGAATGACTAAATAACCAAAATACATCAAAATACCTTTGACCTCCTGGACATCAAATATATTTAATCAGTACCCAAAATTCACTTGATTCATCCAACAACAAACGCAGAAAACGAGTGATACATTTCTTTTTATCCACAGCACAAACATACACAAGTGTTTTGCAGAGGACTTGACGAATAAAGCACAAGAAGCTTTGGTTTAAAGATCAAGCACGGAAATGGGTGTTGTGTTGCAAACATTTCACTTCCTGACACTTTGTTTCATAAAGTGCTATGCTCCTATACAACAAGAAAGCCCTTGTGTGCTGCCTGAATAACGGACTATTAATTAAACGGCACATGTTCAAGATGCCATGAGTATCGGCAGCATAGCCTGCCACCTGCAACCCTCCAGACCTGCCATTGATCACCTCTTGCATGTCTGAAAGGCAACAGAATGACATGCAATGGCAAACACACCCTCCTGTTTAAACACTGGCACGTAGCTTATAAAACTACCAAAGGAAAAGCAAGAACTGTTTGCAAGCAAACCCAATATATATGGGCCTATTTTACTTTTAAATACATGATATTAGCGTCCGATCGTTTCTTTCTGAAGGAATAAAACGGATTGCCCGTCTGTACATTTCAGAAGGTCTCGGGACACAAAGGCCCTAACTAACGCCCAGCGTTGCCACAGCGCGGTACAAAACACTGGTCTCATTCAGACGCAGCACAATCAATGTGTGCTGACTGGCGTAAGAGAGTACAGCATGAAAACAGTCCGAGGCAATGGAAGGAAAATGAGCACGTCCCCTGCATGTCTTGACAGATAATTTTCGGAGCCAAACGAAGGAAACGTTCTGCTCTGCGCTCCCTGGTGGTTCATTTTCTCGTGTACGGAATTACATGGGAGGTGGCAGACGCAATGAAAGTCAGGAATACAGATGACAGATGCAGAGCATTCAGATCAGCTAGTCCTGTTACTGTACCTGCGCAGCACCTTTCATTCGTCTCCCTCCTCTGTCTCATCAGAGCTCTCCCACACCCCCACCTCACACAGGCCACACACACTGCAGCGCAGGATTTCAACACCACCCCTACCCTGACAACACACACCAAACAACCGACTGCGCTCGTGTTTTCTCCTTCTGAATGGAAACTGAAAATGCAGAAATACCACACATCTTGAAATGAAGACGAAAAGCCCTACACCTGGAAAGATGACAAAAAATCCCATCTTTGATCTAAGAAGCAATGTACACACCACCTTTGCAATCAGGCTCTGTGTTTTCACTTTACCTACCAAGATCTCAAGATCCCTACAACACATTCAAGTGGGTAAAATTACAGTGGACGAGTAATACATTAGGTGCAATTATATGTGAGACAGCTTTTCATTTGTTCTTGGATCAAGCAGATGATTCACAGGCTGACTCCCTTGGTGTCAAGCTGGCCTGTTCTTTGAAAAGAGAGCTTCACATAAAAGAGCAACTCCTTTCAAGGTATGGAACCACAAAACGAGCTTCCCTCACCTACATAAGAAACGGAATACGGTCTACAGAAATGTCAAGTTAAATGGGTTAGAGGGAATCTCCGACTAGTAAAGATTCTAAAACCAGCGCAGGCTGAGCTCCATGGCTCAGGCACTGTGGGATCAAACCCGGGTCATGGCAGTCGCCAAGTAAGAGTGCCACTACTGCCACTGAGGATCGGGCGGGATTAATCCCTTAAGCTCTCTGGGCTCCTGGAGACACACGGCAGCCCCTGTGGCCTCCTGGACAGCCAGGCCTGTGGTGCTGGCAGTGCGAGACGTGCCTCTGCTCCAATCAGTGCCTGTTTTCCGGCAGGCATGGGGGTCTGTGAAGAGTCAGGTCAGGAGGGGTATACCCACACCTCCTCATTCCCAGAGCGGTGGCTCTGTGGCTCAGGATCTGCGCCTGTGGCTGGAAGGCTGCCGGTTCAAATCCCACAGCAGGCAGAGGAATCCTACTCCTTTGGGCCCCTGAGCAAGGCCCTGAACCCCAGCTGCTCCAGGGGCGCCGTATAAATGGCTGACCCTGCACTCTGACCCCCAGCTTCTCTCCCTGTCTGTGTGTCTCACGGAGAGCAAGCTGGGGTATGCGAAAAAGACAAATTCCTAATGCAAGAAAATGTATATGGCCAATAAAGTGATCTTATCTTATTCTCCCCTGTGTGCGGCTGCAGGATCTCTCCTGTGAACCTCTAGTGAAAACGAGGACTGGGCAGTTATATAACAAAGCAGAAGGAACCAGGCTGACAGAGACTGTGTGGATCGCAGAGCTGCTGCTGCCTAGACGAGTTACTGACCTGAGGCCAATAACAGCAAGTCTACACCAGCCGCATGCGAGATATCCACAAAGTTCAAAGCACCTGGAAATATCCTGCTTGAATGCCATTTTCCTGGAAGAAACAGATTAATGACTACAGCAGCTTTCGGGGCCAACTGAAAGGGCTGACCTCAGGTGATGCCATTACAGAGATCCCATTTCGTGTTACTGACTGCAGCTTGGACAGCAGTGTCGCCACTTTCTGGGTTTACCTTGTCAGCTCTCCAAGGAAAAACAGGTTGTTGCCGTTAGTGGTGGTGGTGGACCAGAATTTCCAAACCTGTGCCCTCGTATGGCAGTCAGGGTCTAATGCCCCGGGCTAAATTTTACTCTGGGCTTGAACTGGCCTCCCTTAACTTCCCCCTGAATTCAACTGGCCGGAGCGATTTCTGGCTTCTCCACCTGGCCTGCTGTGTGGTGGGGCTGTGGGTATTTAACGGACTCCCACGGTTCACCCGAGTGGGCTCTGCACTTCAGTGCTGGATGTAGTGGGTGAAGGGCTTCAGAATCCTTTGTGATAAAACCTGCTGCATATATGTGCAGAATTACTGTCAAACATTAATTGCAGGGCCCAAGCCTCAGAAGCTCAGAAAATGGCTTCAGTCTTTTAAAAGGGTTGTGTGTTTGAAAATCAACACAGGACTGCCTGGCACAAGCAGGGAAAGCAAGGGCTGAAGATTTCTGCACCAGTACACTATCCCGTGGAAGCCCAGCCTGGCAGACACGCTAGCAGTCAGCTTTTTGGCATAAAAAACATATATTTAAAGAGTACCTTTCAACTGCTTGACATGCAGATCGCACAGCAGATTTTCAAAAAACCTTGCCAAATCCATGACTACCAGTCACATTCTTGATTCTGAATGCCAGGAAAAAATTACCATGTCACCCAGATGTATTATAGCCTGCATGTACTACACACAAGCGCACGGCTGGAGAAGGATACACACCCTTGGAGATCCCTTAGTAATAACCAATTTCCACAGCAACAGAAAAATACTGGGGAACTTGAGAACTTACAGATGCCAAGTGCACTTGAGACGAGGTAAAATGTTTACGTTGCTACACAGAACCACCAAACAAAACGAGGCAGGCAAACATTTGCCTGGGAGGAAAAAAAAAGAACCGAAAATGACAATTTCGTGCATCACCCCTGAACAGCTCTCCAGCGAAAACAGAGCGCTTTCGGTATGTGGCGTGGTTTGCGTTTTTTTTTTTACAAATACAGAAGAGAACGCAAACCAGACACAGGATCCGAGTCCGAGCCTGTGGTCAACACATCCACAACGCAGGGACGGGATGTGCACTCAAGACAGAAAGCTTGAAAACTCAGGCTCGCTCACGGCCTTCGGGCACCAGCCGTTCGGTCCCACCTGGGACCAGGACTTAAGAAAACTTAAGAGCGAAGTACTCTCCTCGGCACCGAGGTGGTAACTGAAGAATTGAAGAGAAACAAGACAATCTTGTGTGCCGGCCTTTTGATTTTTGATTTGGACAGCGGAATGCTTGTGAGTCTGTAGCGGAGTCAAACCGTACCTCTGGACGTGCGTGTGTGTGTGTGAGGGGGGTATGGGGGTAAAACGGTTTTTTCCCCGATTTCTCGTTAGCGGGTGTTTGAATCGGTCTCGCCCAACTGGCGCCTTTCCAACTCTGCAGCCTACAGGGGCGAACAGGCGAGCGGCTACGGGGGTTAACCCAGAGTTACGGCTAGTTTGCCCGAGAGTGCCAGCCCGCAAAGGCCACGAACTCGGCTGCCCCCGGGGGCGTCGCACCTGGGGTGCCGGGTCTGTGCCGTGTCCCCTCACGAAAAACAAAACTGCGGCACTTACCTGCGGGTGTCGCCCCGAAGATCCGGACCACGGGCACCCTCTTGACTTCGCTCTCTCTGAATTCAGAGCGACAAACGTCCAAGTCTTTCAGAGGACTGGCCATGTAGTAATCTGCCGTGACGATGCGGACTGCGAACATGATTGCTAACGATTAGGAATTGCCGAGCACGACAATAGAGACGCCGGGGTTACATTCAGATAAAGAGAGAGAGAGAAAGGAAAAAAAAAATAACGAGACGGGCTTCTTTGTTTCCAATAAACAGCTTTTAGATGGGCTCTATTTGTCTCATTTGCAAAAAAAAAACAGCACGAACTATTTTCTAGACGTTCCGAGAGACCGGGCACACAACACGGTTTCTCCTCGTACTGACAGAAACATGATTTCTAAGAAGTACAAGGGTAATCCGAGCTGCAGCTGTTAAAACCATGATGGTGGTGCTGTCTGCCGCTATGCCGCTCTGAAATCAGTGTACGAGTTTTTCAGCATCAGAGCTGCACGCAGTCTCTTCCTAACCGAGACAATAAAAGTGTTTTCGCCGAGCCCTGCCTAGCACATAAGCAGCCAGGCTTCGGCCATCACAGGATAAAAATCACTTTTCTTTTTACTCTCGATGTCTCCCCCTTCCTCAGTTGCCGCTAATCCATTATCTAACATTTTTCTATTTGCTTCACCTTGGGGATCATTTCCTAAAAATCTCTACAACAACAACAACAACAACAACAACAACAGTAGCAGCAGCAAAAAAAAGCGTCAGACTGAGCAAAGGAAGAAAAAAAACTCAAAATGTATCCAATGTGGCAGTCCGTTCAGTTTCTGGCTATGTGCTTCCAATGTGCCATTACAGACATTGTTCCCCCCTTCTCTGTAATATGATCACAGTACTCCTCTGTAACCCTAATCAACACCATTCCTCACTGACAGACCCTCCTCTCTCTCTCTCCGCCTTCTCTACTGGCTCCCGAAACACTGCAGCATTTTCCACAACACCATTGCAGGTCACAGGGCCTCTCCACCGGAAGTCCCGCCCTTGACGTCAACTATTGGCGCTTATCCGGGCACCTACATTCCGAGGGACGGGAGTTCTAACCAATGAAAGGAAAGCAACCGTGTTTACTTTCCGCTTGTCTTGCTTTTCTGATCGCTGATTGGACGGAATGCTTACTGTTGTGCGACATGATTGGTTGCGGGGCTCGTTATCATAGACACGGGCATATATTGCTAGAATGCACGCCAGCTTGCTTTTTGTGGTCAAGAGCTGCCGGCTTCCGGTTGTGGCAGAAGTGTGAGGTTCTGCCCTGCACTGTGCTCGTTTTGTGATATTCTTATATAATCATCGTTAAATTCTGTTGTGCGGTTTACTGGGTTTATCGGAACACACCAGAAAACTCAGCACAAGGAACAACGTCTCACCTGTTATTAATGAGAACACTTGTAAAAACTAATGTGTAAAAGTG